AATAGAGGGATGAAAAAACAGGTAACATACTTACCTGGGGTTTGGCCATTTCCTGCTCTTCTTGGGAAAAAGCAGAGATGTATGATGGCTGAGCTGGAACAAGTGGAGAAAAGCAGAGCATATGAAAATACCCCATCAGACTTTCAGTGCCCAGAATTAGCTGCCTAGCTATCCCCTCACATCAGCTGGCCATGAAACCGCCCTCTGGAAGAGTTTGGGCAACCATGTGGTTTTAACAGTCTGTGTATTCTTCACTCTTCATGTGAACCTTGAACACAAAAGGTTTTATATACACATGTATTACATTGTGTACTGACCCAGAAATTGTATTTCTAGGTATTTTCCTTAAGGAAATAATTTATCATCATGTATCATAATTTCTCTGTACATACCCACGTTTCAGCATTGATTTTAATAATGCCAAACTAAAACGATCCTCTAAGACCCATAATGGATTAAAAATGAAATATAAAAGATAAAATGCTACAAAGCTGTTTAAAACGTTATATGGAGCTGCATAGTATCTATGCACTTTATGGTACATGTATCTCAACTAATTATTTTTTAAAGGTATACAAAAAAAAAATTTTACCCTGAATTAAAACTTCTAAATGAAAACAAAGTAGGTTATAAAACTGAGGGAATCCATTTTAAAGCTATATGTTAAATGTTTAAAAGGGATACTCCTATACACACCAAAAATGTCTAACAATGAACGGGGAGGAATTAGTTCCTTTTGATTTTCTTTTCCTCTATTTCTGAATTAATCTATAATTCAAATGTTATTTGTTAAATGCCAAAAACTACACTCTAAAACTATTACTCCAATTACATTTTAGCCCCATCTCCCTCAGACCCCGCACCTACCCCTCTTCCCAGGCCCCCAACTCTGGGTGAGGCCCAGGGTCAGGTGAGACCTTGCAGGTGCCTCTCCTTCCTTCTGCTCACCTCACCAGAGCCCCGCCTTGCCCAGGAGCTGGAAAAAGGCCTTCGGGTGCAGGTTCACTTCGGCCGGAGCATTCACACCAGACCCCCACCTCGGGGCTTGGGCAAGGGGAGAGGGTAAAGGGAGGAGCGGGGCGCGTCTAAAGAGGGGCCTGAGGGATGCGCATGAACCCTTAGCGCAGGTCACTGTGCTGGAAAATGTGTAAAAGTCAAAGTTTAATAAGCCCCATTCAATCCTGCTTAGCCCCCATAACTTTGTTCACCAGCAAGCCCCTAGAACCTCGTCCAATGACCTCTCCGTTCCCCATCACTCAACCCCCAACCCCCACTTCACTCATCTCGCAGAACTCCCCATCACTCAGCCCACGACCCCTAGCACTTGGCCCCTCAACCTCACTCTTTCGACAACAGATTTTCTGCTCGCTGAGGAGAAGACCGTTACAAAACCTGGCCCCAACAAGCACTTCCGCTTCGGGACCGACTCTTTGGCACCGCAGCCTAAAGGGCTGCAGCGGTCGGTTCTGCGCACGCTCAGTGGAGCCTTTGAGACGCCCATCCGCCAATAGTCAACATGGGGCCACGGCGCAGGCGCAAAGGGAAGGTAGCGGTGCTGGTGACGTCACTGCTTGAGGCGAGATGGCCGAGCCCACCGTGTCTTTTCGCTTCTGGGACAACGTCGCTGAGCGGGTGTTTACTTAGTTCTGCAGAGGCCAGCCTTCCTAAGACTTCAGACACCGATTTTCTTAGGGCAGGGCGGGGAGGGGAAGTGACCAACTATAGAAAAAATTCTCGCAAGCGGCAATTTCTCACTTTGAACTTGGAGGGCAGCAACAGGGTTGCAGGTGTAAATGAACGGGAAGACAGGGTGCGTGGCTAAATTGCTCTGCGTGCACAGAGTAGGAGGTAGCAAAAAGCCACTGGCTTCATCCAGTGGCCAGGACTGGGAGTTTACGTTTGAAGGATGGTAGATGGGTATGCACACCAACAAGCTGAAAAATAAACGGCGATGTGAGACGCACACACCAGGGGCGAAAGGGTGTATTAAGTGGTGGCTAACAGGTTGCTTTTTCTGGAGTAGTCTGCGTCAGTGTGTTGGGAGTGTAGGGGGTGTAGGCAGGGGCCAGGTGCTTTAGGACCTTCTTGGCCAGGGAGCTCATATTTCATTCTGGACATAATTCTGGACCATAAGAAGGATCCGATTTGTAAAGACCAATCTGAAGAAATCTAGCATTATATACTAACGTTAAAAATACACATATATTGAGCTGGGTGCGGTGGCGCGCGCCTGTAATCCCAGCACTTTGGGAGGCCGAGATAGGCGGATCACCTAAGGTCAAGAGTTCAAGACCAGCCTGTCCAACATGGTGAAACCCCGTCTCTACTAAAAATGCCAAAGATTAGCCGGGCATGGTAGCATGCGCCTGTGATCGCAGCTACTCAGGAAGCTGAGGGACGAGAATCGCTTGAACTCAGGAGGTGGAGTTTGCAGTGAGCCAAGATCACACCACTTCACTCTAATCTGGGCGACACAGTGAGAACACACCTCAAAAAAAAAAAAAAAAAAAAAAAAAAAAAAAAAAAAGGAAAGCTTCCTAGCAGACAAGAAAGCAAGAAAGGAACTCACATCTCTTGCTCCCTGATGCATCAGCACCTCCTGGATATATGACTTATCCACTCTCTCAATGCATTAGGAGGTAGAAAATAGCAAGGGCTGGACCTTTAGGGCCCATCACAGTCTCACCCCTAAGCATCATCTACAACCACCTTGTACACACACACCTACACAAAGAAGGAAATCCTTTAGAGTTGGTGGGATTGGGGGACAGATGAGCCAGTGATACAGCCCCTCAGAAACTATCCCAGGGCCCACAGTGTGCATGCACAAGTTATGAGGCTAGCTTTGCTGCTGCAGAGCCAGGACCCGCACTCTCTGTCCTGGACATCCTCTACCATCAGTCCCTACAGGTGTGACCTCCTCATACAGTAGCCTAAGCAGCAGGTGGCTAGGTGAAGGAGTGTGAGAAGCTGACAAGTGGCTGGTCCCACCACAGAATCTGCACGATATGACACTCTTACCCAAAGACAATGAGAGAAGCCCCCACGTGGCTAGTGAGTTATCATTACAATTGCTCTTAAGATACATTTTTTCAAGACCACAAAAGTCTTGCCAATTGTGAGCAGTCACTTTGGACCAGACCCAGCAGGTGAAGTTGACAGAGCAACAGCACAGAAGGAGCCAGGTCTTTGGTGACCTTGGAGCCACCACACTGGCCCTGGATTACCTGCCTCCAAAAGAGGAATCCACTTCCCTCCTCTTGAAGCTACTGGTGTTTGTGGTGGGGTTGGTGTGTGCAACCAAATCAAATCCTGAGCGATCCATCAGACTTCTGTGTTGGCCAATGTGAGTGTCAGCAAACAGGAGACACATGGGACTGGTGGGCGAGGGGCATGAATAATGGTGACTGACAGGCACATTGGGAGCAAGTGAGGGCAAAGAGAGGCAAAGGGCAATGGAGTGGAGGTGAATGAGCACCATTGTGGAGTGAATGTGGGTCAAAGTGAGGGAATGACTATGCATTCAATTATGAATGAATTTGAGATTATGATGAGATTAAGTAAATGATTGGAAATGAGCCACAATCTAAGCAGAAAAAAGGTGAAAGTGGGAGCAGACTCTGCATGAATAGGACAACTAAATAGGGTGAATGTGAGTGGAGGTGATATGAATACTAAGGATTAGAGTGTGAAGGAATGGTGGTTTTATGAGGCACAAGATGAATGAAGAGGGGAATTTAGGGATAGAGTCAGAGCGAATGGGGGTAATGTGGGATAGAAAGAGAAGAATAGGGTGCAGGAGGGACAGAATAAAAGAGTGGAGTTGGATATGTGGTAGAATGTGAAGCAGGCCGAGTTTGAGTGCGAATGCTATGAGGGAGGGTGACTAGAGATGACTGGGATTAGACGGGGATAATACAGGGTAGTCTAGCCCAGGAACGTAGGGGTACAGGGATCCCAGTGGGAATCAGCAAATGTGAATGAGCTGAAGAGTGCGCATTGAATGGAGGTGATGTTGGGCAGAGTGAGAGGGAATGAAAGTGAAGAGCAGAGGATGGCTGAAGGTGGGTATTGCAAGGCAGAGAGTGGATGAAGGCAACATGGCCTAGGGTGAGTAAAGCGAGGAAACACGGGGAGCCCGATGTGAGCAAAAGTAACGAATTTGAGGTGTAGTGTGACAGAATGCGAGTACTGGGAGGCAGAATGGCAGGCATGAATCAGGAGCAGAGGATGAGCAAGAAGAGGGTGATAGGGGTTACCATGGGAAAGGATTTAAACGAATGAGGCAGTGAGAGGCAAAGTGAGAGTAAATGGAGACAATGAAGAGAAAACTCAGAAAGAACAGCGACCAAACATAGACTAAGTATATGTGGGTAACTTGAGCTAGTGTTTGGGAGTAATAGGGACAGAGCTCCAGGAAATGGGGGTGTTCCGGGGACAGCATCTGAGAGAATAGAGGTGAAGGAGGGGCAGAAAGGGAGTGAATGGGGGAGTTAACAAGGCCCCAAGTCAATGAACGAAGCTGAAGGCTGGGCCAGATGTGAGTAAGTGGGAGTCATTTGATGCAGAGCCAGGAAATAGAGGTGAAGACAGGAAATGGTCTGAGCGAGAGTGAGTGGGATGAAGAAGGAATATGACATGAGAGAATTTGGGTAATGCTAAGTAGATGGGGAATTGTGATAATATGAGGCCCGGTGTGGGTGAATATAAGTGGTTGAGAGGCAGTGTAAGTGAATGCGGGAACAAAAGACAGAATGAGAATGAAAGTGAAAAAGCAGTCAAGCATAAGAATCTGCATGTAATATGCCATTTGTAATATGAAATGTGGGGCACAGTCCAGTAAATTAGGATGGAACAGCACTTTAAGTTCAGAGAGGTGAACAAGCTACCAAGGATGAGTGCTATGGTTTGAATGTGTCCCTTCCAAAATTCAGATGTCAGACACTTCATCCCCAATGCAACAGGGTTGGGAGGTGGAGCCTTTAATTTCCAGTGCAACAGTGTTGGGAGGCATTTAGATTTCTGTGTTCCGTGTTCCAGAATCTATGACTTAGACATTTGCTCATAGAGCCCAGAGTTCCAGATCACCCCTAATTCCGAACACCACAGGGTAAGTCTGGAGCGAGTCACCTGGGAGGTCTTACAGGTGCCATAATGCAGGCCTGGGGCACTGTGATAGTGACCTTGGCCATACTGATGGTTGTCACTGTGGATGCCAAGATTTATGAACGCTGCGAGCTGGCTGCAAGACTGGAGAGGGCAGGGCTGAACGGCTACAAAGGCTACAGTGTTGGAGACTGTGAGAATCCAGTTGCCCCAAATCCTGCCCATACCCTAAGCCACTCACCACATTCAGATCCAGGCCCCCCCTTGTCCTTTATCACCTCTCCAGGTCAGGGCATGATCCCTTCAGTCACTCACTCACTGACTGTGCTGAGTAGTTTAACTAACTCTAATGTCACCACCATTATTGCCTTCACAACCATCACCTCCATCTCTGCCGTCAACATGATCACTACAATCAATATCATCACTGCTGTTACCACCATGAATACCATCACTACCGCCATCACTGATCCCTCACCAGAATCACCAATATCACCACACCAAACCAAGATCACCACCCTCACAACTGAGATGACAACCATCCCTGTCCTCCCCCGATCCTATCCTTCCCTATTCCCAGGCTCTATACCTATTTCTTGCCTCTCTTCTCCCTGCTCCAGGGCTGTGCATGGCTCACTATGAGAGTGGCTTTGACACCGCCTTCGTGGACCACAATCCTGATGGCAGCAGTGAATATGGCATTTTCCAACTGAATTCTGCCTGGTGGTGTGACAATGGCATTACACCCACCAAGAACCTCTGCCACATGGATTGTCATGGTAAGTCAGCACTGGGGACACACTGAAGCCCTGCCAGGCCCTACTCTCCCACACATGGAGGACAAGGTTGTTTAAGCCATAATCTCCTGCAACAAGAGAAAAATGATGAGAAAAGGAGAAAAGTTGCCTAAGCTGTTAGAGACACCAACCTGTATCCCTACCCAGACTATACTGAGGGGTTGTTTAAGACAGAAGAGCTCAGAGCTCCCAATTCTCACAGAGTGGACCCTGCAGTTTTCTTAGACTCAGGAAAGAGGAAACTTACCTCCGTGTGGAATAGAGACAGAGACTGTCCTAATTTGGGGTTGAGGTTACCCAGGCCCTGAGGAAAGAAGCAGATATGTGGTTCTAGAGACAGAAACAGATCACCTTCATGCAGAAATGACAGAATGTTCCAGATAAGACTGGTGTTGCTGAGGACAAAATAGAATAGCAATTAACGTTGTTCAGTGTTGGCCGAAATGGTGGCTGAGGTTGTCCAAGACAGGAAAAAATGGAGATTGAGGTTATTTAGGGCCAGCTCAAATAGAGGTTGGGATTGTCCAGGACCAGATAGCATGGAGGTTGGAGTTATTCATGACTAGACAACATGACAAGATCATCCAGGATCAATCAACATGAGTTAAGGTTGTATAGAACAAGCTAACATGGTGATTGAGATCATGCATAACCAGCTGACAAGAGAATCTATGTCATCTGGAATTGGCCAACATTGTGGTTGAGGTTCTTCAGGCCCCAAAGAACCCAAAACCCCTGGGCCCTCCATTCACTGTTACCCTATCCTCAATGCACCAGATCATTATGTCCCTCTCTTCCCCTTCAGACCTGCTCAATCGCCATATCCTGGATGACATCATGTGTGCCAAGCAGATCGTGTCCTCACAGAACGGGCTGTCTGCCTGGTAAGTTCATGGGGATGGCCTGGACCATGGGCAGCCAGGGATGGTGTCACTGCCACCCCATCAACCTGTCCACTTCATCCTCTCTCTTTTCTTTCATTTCCCAGGACTTCATGGAGGCGGCACTGTTCTGGCCATGATTTATCTGAATGGCTCAAGGGGTGTGCTATGCAAGTGAAAATTGACCCAAAAAATTATCCATGACTCAGATTCGAAGAGACAGGTTTTATTTCCCTTTCATTCCTTTCTCTTGTGCATTTAATAAAGGATAGTATCTATAAACAATGCAAAAGATGCTCTGATGCCTGACTCTCTTCATTTATTCAATGCCTGGAGGTACCCTCATTCCATCACTTTCTCCATACATTCAAAGGTCTAATTAAGAAATACCAGATCACTCAGGGTGGGGCAGGAAGGAATGACAGGGTGGTGAATCAAGAGCATATGTTCTCCTGGGTTCAAAAACCATCTCTACCATCTACTAGCTGTGTTGCCTTGGAAGAGATACTGAATTTCTCTGTGCCTCAGTTTCCTCATGTGTTGAATAAGGATGATAATAATAGTAACTCCTTGATGGGGTTATTTGAAGGATTAAATGAATTAATATTTGCAAAATGTATAAAGTGCTTGGTACATAAGACAGTTATAGGTTTGGAGATAGAGGAGTGGGAAGGGACAGATGAAAATTGGCTTCCCTTAAAAAGAATCACTCTCAGTTCAGGTCACTACAGGGTCTTTATTTAAGGCAGATGTAGTCTCTTCAGGGACAATGAATCCAGTAGGATTGTGCTTACACAGGAAGCTTAGTGGGAATTAGGAGTTAAAGGTACATTTTTCCCACATCCTCCAACATAACACCATTCTCCCAGTCCCCACACCCTCTTTCATGATCAAAGTCTGAAGTTTCAAATGACAGAGTAGGAATGTAGGCAAAACATTCAATGGACACACACGGTAATAATTTCTTCTTACAGAATGCCTGAGTTTCAGTTTGTGTCTTGAGCAGAGAATTTAGGAATTTGAACTTGCCATTCTTTGCAATGGCCAACACCTTTGGAAGCAGCCACTCCCATTAGGAAGCAGTCCCTCATGTTCTTTGTACTCTTTGGTTGGGGTAGTTACTCAAGTACCTGAGGCCTTGAAGTGTTCATTTCAACCAAGATAATCACAGATGATCATGAAAACAGCCAGCTGCCACCGCATGCCAAGGAATGCTGGAGCCCCCTTCCTTACTGCCAGCTGGATTTCGCCTACCTTCAGCCCCATCCAGCCTAGGTAATCAAATCTCACATCTCCCTGTGGGTCCATTAAGGGTGCCAGCATTTTGTGTACTAATTTCTTATTGTTTTTTTTCTTTCATTTTGTTTCGTTTTGTTTTTGAGACAGAGTGTCGCTCTTTCACCCAGGCTGGAGTGCAATGGCTCACTGCAACCTCCACCTCCCGGGTTCAACCAATTCTCCTGCCTCAGCCTCCCGAGTAGCTGGGATTACAGGCGCCCACTTCCACGCCCAGCTAATTTTTGTATATTTAGTAGAGACGGGGTTTTACCATGTTGGGCAGGCTAGTTTTGAACTCCTGGCCTCAGGCAATCCATCCACCTCAGCCTCCCAAAGTGCTGTGATTACAGGCGTGAGCCACCACACTCAGCCTAAAATATATTTTTAATTATTATTCCTTTAGTGGCTATCTTTAAATCTGTAACTTCCTATCATTTGATAAACCCTTTTGTTCTTGTATGGAACTTAGTCTCCATTATGACAAAATAGAGATTCTTAATAATAGTAGATTTTGTTAATTTTTCTATGAGAGTTTGGTATTAAATCTGGAGACATATTTTCCATGTATCATTTCCAAGGACTATGCTTATTTAATTAATTTAATTGGGTTTCCCTTAATACCTGTGCCTAGATGTATGGTGAGGTTTGCCTTCCAACTTACAGCCCTTATGTCTTCAAGGCCTCAAAAGGCGCCTCTCTAGCTGGTTATCAGCTTGCCAGACTTCTAGAAGAATAATAAACCACACTGTACCCTGTGAATACAGCTTTGTCAGAAGCAGGCTTCTGGTGTGACTGATGTTTCTTTCAAGTTTACATACCAATCAGAAAGAAATTCCATGTACATTTCTTTCCTAAACTCTGAGCTTCAGAAAAAAAAAAAAAAAAGTTGCTCTAATAGAAATTGGAATGGGAAAGTAAAATAAATATAAGTTACTTTGATTGTTTAAGAAAAATTCTTTAGGCCGGGCGCAGTGTCTCATGCCTGTAATCCCAGCACTTTGGGAAGCCAAGTCAGGCAGATCGCCTGAGGTCAGGAGTTCAAGACCAGCCTGACAAACATGGAGAAAGCCCGTCTCTGCTAAAAATACAAAATTAGCTGGGTGTTGTGGCGCATGCCTGTAATCCCAGCCTCTCGGGAGGAACCCGGGAGGCAGAGGTTGCAGTGAGCTGAGATCATGCACGCCAGCCTGGGCAACAAGAGCAAAACTCTATTTCAAAAAAAAAAAAAAGAAAGAAAAATACTTTAAAATTGGAGAGAGGCTGGGCACAGTGGCTCATGCCTCTAATCCAAGCACTCTGGTAGGCCAAGGTGGGTGGATCATTTGAAGTCAGGAGTTCAAGACCAGCCTGGCCAATGTGACAAAACCCTGTCTCTACTAATAATACAAAAAAAAAAAAAAAAAATTAGCCAGGTGTGGTGGCATGTACCTGTAATCCCAGCTACTCAGGAGGCTGAGGCATGAGAATCACTTTAACCCAGGAGGCAGAGGTTGCAGTCATCTGAGATTATGCCACTGTACTCCAGCCTGGGTGACAGAGTGAAACTGTGTCTCAAAAGTACATACATAAATAAAAATAAAATTGGGGCGAGAAGGTAAAAATAGTTTTAGGGAGCCACGAACAGGGGAAAGGGAGATTAGAAGGCTAGCAGATCCAGGATTTGGGGGGAGAAGGACTCAACTAGAATGCAAAGAGCCTTTTAGGAAATCTGGAAACAATTGAGGTGACCAAGAGAATAAGCAGAAGGACGAGGCCAGATTGTGGTGAGGCTAGCTCTTCACCATCTCACTTCAACATCACCGTGAGACAATAGTTCACAAAACTAACAATTTACAGTTAGCAACAAAAGTTCATATCCTTTAAGAAGATATTTCTGAGCTTTCAAATATGTCCAACCCTCACTGACCCACTGCAGTTTCCTTCTCATCACATCCCATCTGCTCATTTCTTTCTTTCTCTTTTTTTTTTTCATTTTTTTTTTTTTTAGACAGGGTCTCTGTCACCCAGGGTGGAGTGCAGAGGTATGATCTAGGTTCACTGCAACCTCCACCCCCCAGGTTCAAGCAATTCTCATGCCTCTCCCTCCCAAGAAACTGGGACTACAGGTGTGGCCACCACACCTGGCTAATTTTTGCAATTTTAGTAGAGACAGGGTTTCACCATGTCGGCCAGGCTGGTCTCAAACTCCTGACCTCAAGTGATCCACCCACCTCAGCTTTCCAAAGTGCTGGGATTACAAACATGAGCCACCGTGCCTGGCCTGCTCATTTCCTTCTTATCTGTACAACTCAAACTTAGGACTTCTCTCTCTGTGATCCAATGTCCTCCCTCCTCCAAAGAGGCAATCACATCTGGTTTGGTCACAGGATACCCTGTAATGGAAAATGATACAAGGCTTGAGCATGTCTGTGTGGGCTTTGGGACCTTAAAAAGTTAGGAAGGTACATATTCATGAGGGTAAATTTCACATGGGAGATGAAAATACAAACACCTTGTTCAGTCTGGAAGGAATTAAGAATCTTTAATCCCTAGAACCTGAGGTCAAAATATTGAAGCACATCAGAGATGGAAATTTATTCTACTGGATGTACCATGCATTACTCAGGGAAGCCATCCTAACCCACAGAGACCAGATGGCTATAGTTCTGTAGCATCACATCTTTATATCTCTCTATAGTTCTCTAGCATCACAGGGTTCTCTGAGGAGAATCCAGTCAGTTTCACTGCTCCTGGGTGAAATGCACAGCCACATCCTCAAATGACACGATCCTTGTAATTGCATGCTTCTATTCAATTGGTTGGATAAAAATTAAAGTGATAATACTTTTTAAAATAAAGGGAATATTATTCAGAGGAAAGCTACTCTTTAATCATTTCAAAAGGCCTTTTCTGAGATATTTGCAATACCTATATATAGCAAAGGACTTTTATGCTAAGGAAACTACAAAGAACTCCTACAAATAATAAGATAAAAATAGATGGATAATCCAATAGAAAAACCAGAAAAAAAGATTTGAACAGGTAATTCACCAAAGAAGATATCTAAATGGCCGAAAAACACATGAAAAGGTGCTCACCATCATTAGTCATCAGAGAAAGGCAAACTTAAACCACAATTAGATATCACTGCATGCCAACAGAAAACCAAAAATATGACCAACAACCTTCAGCTTTCCTTTGAGACGAAGTCTTGCTCTGTCGCCCAGGCTAGAATGCAGTGGCATGATCTCGGCTCACTGCAACCTCCGCCTCCCACGTTCAAGTAATTCTCCTGCCTCAGCCTCCTGCATAGCTGAGATTACAAGCACATGCCACCACAACCAACTAATTTTTATATTTTTAGTTGAGACAGGGTTTCACCACGTTAGTCAGGCTGGTCTCGAACTCCTGATCTCGTTATCCACCTGCCTTGGCCTCTCAAAGTGCTGGGATTACAGTCATGAGCCACAGCACCAAGCCTAATTTTTGTATTTTTAGTAGAGACGGGGTTTCACCATGTTGGCCAGGCTGGTCTCGAACTCCTGACCGCAGGTGATCCGCCCACCTTGGCCTCCCAAAGTGCTAGGATTACAGGCGTGAGCTACCACGCCTGGCCTGGCTTTTTGCTATTTGAGTCCTTCTTCCCTCTTCCCCTAAATCCTGGATCTGCTACCCTTCCAATCTCCTTCCAAATGTTGGCAGGATGTAGAGCAACTGAAGCTCTCATACATTGTTGGTGGAAGTAAAATAGTGTAGGCACTTAACAGATTGGTAGAATCTACTAAAGCTGAACATCTAACATAACATCTAAGTTTTTAACTAATTTATCACATCTGCAAGAGGTAAATGATACACCTAACCTAGGATCCAGCAATTCCACTGTTAGGTATATAACCAATGGAAATGCACACATATGTTCACCAAGACATGCACAAGAATATTCATAGACACATTATTTCTAATAGTTAAAATGGAATATCCACCAGCAGGGGAATGGATTAACCATTGTGATATATTTATACAATGGAATAGTGAATA